AATGAGACCAGATTTTAACACTTTTTATAATTCGAAAAAAAAATTGTATTATTAACCCACAGGTTTAAGGGATTTACAACACTAATTTAAGAGCTTTAAGCACTATAAAGATTAAATATTACATTTATATTACACATAAGCCTATTCTACAAAGTCCTTTTAATTATATTTATTTGCTTTTTTTTTTACATAAAAACAGGGGTGATACTATAGTGTTTTGTAAGTTTCAAGGTTAATTTCCTTAAAGTTTCTAAAATTAATATTGCTTCTAGTTTGTACATAAACAGAACAAATAACATGTAATATATTTTTTAAAATTTTACCTGGAAAGTACTAAATTTAAGACTAAAAAGTAAAAGGTATTAAAAGTAACTTTGAATCACTAATGTTTGAAAAGAAACCATTGCACATTTTGTTTTATTTTTTTAATATTTCTAGTAAATGCTGTGTTGGAAACAGTTCCAGTAGGAAACCCACCCTCCAGTTGATGACTATTATACTTTGAACTTATCTCAGAGCCATGATACATCAGTTATTTTGATACATTATACATTATAGTGAGTCATGGATTATAAGCCTTTACTAATATGTACTGATATCATCAGATGCATAGCTAGGGAAATGACAGTATATACTGTGCCACAGATACAGAAATTTAGGGATCTATTCTCATGCATTAATGTGACAGGATATAACAGAAGGGGCTCTCAAATGCTGTCTATAGAATTAGTTAACAATACATTCTGTCAATATAATCATTCTTGATTTTCCTTACAGATAAGTGCTTCCTTGGATCAGGGCTATAGAATTCTGATAATCTTCCAGTTCCTCTTAACTTACTTTTAACATGACTATATTCAGCTGGAGCTAGAGTTTGTTCATTGGACTGAAAGAAATAGTTGTGACCACATGCAGATCTTCCCAGTAGCATTCCTAAATTGGCCTTACAGGTTGTAGCAGCACATTAAGGCTAGGGACAGGCATTATACATAAATGGGTAGAAGTGACTGAAAACCAGTTCAAATCTGTAACACAACACGGGCAGAAACATGCATTTCCCTGGCACAATATGTGCCACTGCTGCTTGTCCTTCGGAAATGCCCATGCACACGCACTTTGGTGCATGGCACATTGCCCCAGGTGGGGTAGGAGAGGCTGGGGTCAGCACCTGGGCTGGCCCCAGCAGCCTTACCTGGGGTTCTGAGAGCCTCCAGGGGCTGCAGCAGTGGTGATCTTGCAGCAAAGAGCCTGGCCAGCAGTTGTAGCATAGTTCTGGCCAGCCAGCCTCCAGCTTCTAGCGGTACATGCTGTTGCTGTGTGTGCTTCCCCCTTTTTTTAAGGCACTTTTTTAAGGATCTCCCAGTGTCAACACCCCCCCCCCACACACACACACTGCATATTAGCAGTGCAGGGAATGCCTACATATGCAGTGTGTGCAGAGCTGCAGACAGGCCTCTGGCACTGCATACAGCATATCCATGCTCATCTGGACAAGCCCTAGAAGTTCAATACACATAAACCACTTTCAAAATGGCTCAAACCAGTTTAAGATAAACCTGGATGGATGTAGTATCAGACTTAACTGATTTCGGTTAAATTGGTTTATTGAATATCTGTCCCAGATCCTATCCAGATTCAAGTTAACTCACAATCCCCCAGGATCCTAGGATGCTTTGCACCTCCCCTACAACCCCCTCTCACCCCCCTCACCCCCCCCCTTTTGACAAA